TTTTAACAAACTGTGAATTGAAGAACTTTATCCGTAGAATGAATAACCAACTCACAGAATGGAAAATATTTGCAAAATATGTATCAGATAATGGATTGATATAAAAATATATGAAGAAATACATAAGTCAACAACAAGAAAAACTAATTTAAAAATAGGGGAAGCTCTTAAACAAACATTTCTCCAAAGAAGTTATACAAATTGCCAATAAACACAGGAAAGGTTCCTCCATATCACTAATTAGTAGGAAAATTCAAATCAAAACTACAGTAAGATACCACATCTCACTCTTAGGTGATGGCTATTATTAAAAACAGTACAGGAAAAAAAAAGTGTTGATAAGGATATGAAGAAATTAGAATGTGTGCAATACCAGTAGGAATGCAAAATGGTGTAACCATTGTGAATAATGCTACTGCAATTTTTTAAAACAATAAGCATAGAACCATCATGTGATCCAACAATTGCCTTTCTGAGTATATGTCCAAAATGACTGAAGGCAGAGTCTATCTACCAACAGGTATTTTTATACCCATGTTCCTAGAAGATTTATTCTCAATAGCTAAAAGGTGGACACAACACAAAAGTCCACCAACAAAAATGTAAACACACACACACATTAATATTATATACGTATATTTATACATAAATACATATGAATATCATTCAGTCTTCAAAAGAAAGGAGATTCTGTTACATGCTACAAAAATGGATGAAGCGTGCACAGATTATACTAAGTAAAGTAAGCCAGTCATGATAAGCCATACACCTAATTCCACATACATGGCTTACTCAGGGTGATAAAATTTATAGAGATGAAAATTGAAATGGTGGTTGCTAGGGCCTGGGAGATTACAGGAGCGAAGAGTTAGTGTTTAATGGGTAAAGAGTTTCAGCTGAGTAAGAAAATAACGTATCCTGGTTTGATGTGGGCAATGGCTACACAATACTGTTAATGTACTCAATATCATTGACCCGTACACTTAACAATGGATAAAATGGTAAATCTTATAATACGTATATTTACTACAATGAATAAGTCAAAAATGTAATTTGAGTATAACTGAAGTTATTTTATATTTGGAACTCCAAATATATTGTACAAAACACAGCAGGGTCCTCAACTTACGTAGAGAAATTGATCTTCCAATAAAATGTGGCCTCTGAAAACTTGCAAAAGGAAAAAAAAAAGGAAGAGCAATTTTTTTTATAAATACCTTTGGATTCAACATGATTAGCATGTGAGACTTTCCAATAGTATACAATTTATATTAGTAATTTAATTATTAACAAGTTAATAATGTAATATTTGAAATTGCCAATGAAATTATAATTGTTCCTATCACATATATTTTATATGTCTGTCTATAAAAATGTTTCCATGAGGTGGTGAATATCACACACTAATGGTGAAAAAAAAATGCCAAATGTAAAAAAAAAATGAATGGTATATTATATCTCATATTTGATTCCATGTATCATTACCACCAATGGAAATTTTTTGGGTTTTTATGTTGTATTGTTTCTAGTATTCTGTAATATATTACTTAACAGACCCCCTGCATTGATAGGGAAGCAACCTTGACTATTAAATATCACCCTTGAATTCTTCAAGGTCTAATGTGAAGAGGGAATTTTTTTTCTTAGGTTAAAATAAAATTCAAATAGCTTATTTTCCCATTTTATTTTGTTTTTATCCACTGGAAGAACAATATAAAATCCATTTTAATTTCAAAACATTTTGAATCTCTTTGATTTTTAAAATTTATTTTAAAATATTGCAACACAGGCATCAGCATTAATTACACTGTAAAATAGAGGGACGAGCAAGCAGAAAATAATTGATTTTTTTTTACAAGAATAAACAAAACTTGACTCTGGACAATGTCCTAAATAAAAGAGAAAGTAAAAGGTGAAAACTTTTATTGCCATCTTGGCACCTGGAATATCTCAGGATATGCTCCAGGATTAAATTGAATTTAATCTTGACCACTATCTCTTGACCTTGACACTGCTGACATTTTATAGATCATGAAAACTGAGATTCAGAGACTTAAAGTGATTTTACCTTAAAATATATATTGGGGAGGTGGATTCCCAGATTTATGTACCTCTCTGTCTAGTCTGTCTATCTGTCTATTTATCTATCCATTTGCCTAAATGTATCTCCTATCTGCCCTCCTTTATACCTCAAATATTAAATATTTTGAGATAATGAATCTGAAATAAGAGTGGGCTGCT